GGACCTTCCAGCTTGTTATCAGTGCTCAGTTCAAAAGCCTGCATCTCTGATGGTATGGGGGTGCATTAGTGCGTATGGAATGGGCAGCTTGCACATCTGGAAAGGACCCATCAATGCTGAAAGATAGATCCAGGTGTTAGAGTAGCATATGCTCCCATCTAGACACCAGCATGGCTTTGTAGTAGAAGAGTCTGGTAGCCTAACTGACCTGCCTGCAGTCTAGACCCTTCACCAATTGAAGATATTTGGCGCATTTTGAAGTGCAAAATACAACAAAAAAGACTGAGGACTGTTGAGTGGTTAGAATCCTGAATCAGGCAAGAATGGGACAGCATTTCTCTCCCAAAACTCCAGCAACTGGTCTCCTCCGTTCCCAGACGCTTACAGATTGCTGTTAAAAGAAGGGGATGCTACACCCTGGTAAACATGGCCCTATCCCAACTTTTTTGAGGCATGTTGCTGCCATCATTTTCAAAATTACCTTATTTTTTTCTTAAAATGGTCCAGTTTAAACATTTGATATGTTTTCTATTTTCTATTGTGAATATAATATGGGTTTATGATATTTGCAAATCATTGCATTATGTTTTTATGTAGATTTTACACAGCGCCCAACTTTTTGGGAATTGGGGTTTTATGTTAGTGCAGCCTATTCATTTTGAATAGGTTCCATAGCAAAAAAAAAACACTTCTGTGCTATTTGTTTTTACCGCAGCGCAGGCTCAACGTACATTGGGGGGCATTTATCAATCAAATGAGCAAAACAGACGCAAATCAGGCTGCCTCTCATGTAAAGTCTCTGCGACAGGTTTACAATGAGTTAGCAATCTCTGTATTCCTGGGCAGACAACTGCAAAAGATTTGCAAAGTCCTGGGACAGAATCATCACTGTAAATGTGACAGATTTTCACTCTAAAAAGACACATGAATAAGAAGTGGTCAGTCAGGTTTTATCCTGTTGCACTTTGACTTTAGAGCAGTTGGGAAAGGAATTTATGGCTGAAACCTTAAAATAAATCTGTTGCGTAAGCTGTCTTACTGCTCCTGTTTAGCACCACCTTGAAGTGTGAAAGAATTGATAAATGTCCACCATTGCTAGTGGTTCTTAAGGAATAGAGCTGAACAATGCTGCTTTAGTAAAATTATTTGGGGAAGACTAAGACTGTACTGGAACCCCACACCATTACACATCACCATGCTTCACAGTGCGGTAGCTGCAGGCAGGCCAGTTCCTACTGACGTATAAACACCCCCACAACTGCACCACCCAAGATCCCTTTCCCTAAGCACATTGCATGGGCAGGCTCTTGGGAGTCAAGGCAGCAACAATATATATTCTGGGAGAGAAATCAATGCATACATGTGCGGTGGGGCAGGGAGGGTTGGCAGATTTCTGTTTTTAAGCAGGGCTAACAATGCTGGTTGAGACTTCAGTGTAGTAAATGTGCTGTGTTGTCAGCACACTTGATTTCCGGTCAGACCAGCAGGTATTTATCTGTATCTGCAGCATTTTATAATGAAATAAAGCATGGGGAGATGTGAATGTACTGAATATGTTTTTTTTGGCTAAGATAGATTTAAAGAAAAACTCTGGGCAGAAATATTATTAACCCTTGCAGTGGGGCTACCCCCCGCACTGCAAGGGTTGAGTGCTTGTTTTCATCCAGGATTGAAAATAAAAAAGATACTCACCTGACCTTCATAGCTGACTGGATGCTAGACCGATCCCTGCAGTCTGTCTCCTCCTCCACTCCAGCAATGGAATAACCCTCGATGTCCTCACATCCAATACAATGTATCAGACGTGATGACTCAAAGAACCTTAGACCACTGAAGCAGAAGGATCACCCTTATAATATATATGCCATTGACACGCCGTTAGAACATTTTTAGTAAGGGCAAGCTACAAACTAGTCTGCCTAATCTCAGGGGGGCTGTGCAGGATCTGTGGGGGACTTTGCAGGATCTGTAGGGGGCTCTGCAGCCTGCAAAGCCCACCACAGATCCTGCACAGCCCCTGAGATTCGGCAGACTGCAGGGTCTGTGGGGGTCTCTGCAGGATCTCTGGGGTGGACTTTGCTGGATCCATAACCCCTGTACACCCCTATGGTGGGGATCTGCTGCCAATAGGGAAAATGTAGGGGGAGTCTAATGCCTATGGGGGGGAATGGATGGGATTAAGGATGCACCGATACCAGAATTGGTATCGGTGCAGATACTGGGCATTTTCACGAGTTCTTGTGAAGATGGCTTATACTAAATGGCGATACTGGCCCTTTACATTTTTTTTTTACAGGTTCGGTTGCAGTAAGGTCCTGAATTGTAAGATCCAAGACCTCACAATGCCTGTTTACAGCGCTGGCTGCACATCTCCTCCTCCTTCCCGCTGCTTACACATACCCGCACAGCCCTGGTGAGACACGCACAGCAGTGGTGAGAACCCGAGGTCTGGTCAAACCACGCACAGCTTCCTGAGACGGGGAGCAAAATTTTGTTCTGCCCTGGGCGCCTGTAACTCTGGTTATGCCACTGGTTAGCTATGTGTGCTGTTTTGCATTACTAGCTTACTTTTTGTACATATGGTGGAACAAGCCAAAAACACATCTAACTGAACCGACTGGAATTGCTCAATTGCCATCTGAAATATAGCACTCCAATTGTTCAAAATTTTATCATAAAGTACAAGATCTATCAATAATATTGGTTGTTTCAATCATGTGTTTAACCACCTGCGGACCGGCCACTGTATTAAAATTGCTGGTCCTGTGGCCCTCTGTTCCGGGAAGCCGCTGCACCCGCTGTCATTAGACACTGGAGAGCCATGGTTTTACACACACACACACAGAGCTGATTGGACCGGCTCTGTGTCCGGTGATCGCTGTGATTGATTATCACAAAAATCGCATGGAAATGTTTACATTGCCAACCCCTTCCTCTTCTCTTACATCAGAGGCAGGGGAGAGTAAAGTGAGTAATGAATGGATGAATCAATCATTCATTACATACTAGTGAAAAAAAAAATCTGCAGTAGCAGCAAAAAAATAAAAAAAGTTTCAAATTTTAACCCCCTACTCTCCTGCTTATGTTAGATCCATACTATCTATGCTTTGACCTGTATTTTAACCATTTCACCTCTCTGATACTGCACATCTATATATTAACCCCTTCATCTCCATCCTCCCACTGTATGTGCCCTGTACATTATCCCCTTCACTCCCTCTTCCCTCTGTCTATGACCTGTACATTTATTGTATCTTGTGCACTATTACCAAGCTCCATGTTTTAATCCACTCAATACTGGCAAGTTTCGTCATTTCCCAAAAATTGCGACAAAAAATCAGATCACCTTGGAGTGTCTACTTTTCAAAAAGGGATCAATTTGGAGATTTTCATATGTCTTGACATTTTTTTTTGCTATGATTTATAAACAAAAGTAAAAGAAACAGTTTAAAAAAAAAAAAATTTGTGGTTATTACAAAAAAGAGCTGTTTGTCCCAAAACAATGATATAAAATTAATTTTGTTACAGCGGTGTGTAACAAACTTGCACATCACTGAAAACTGAAAATTGGCCTAGTAATGAAGGGGATGTAACATGCCGGTACTGAAGTGGTTAATAAAAATATGACTGTGTTATATTTGTTGTGTGTATTATTTGCCATTCTGATTTAAGCTGGCCATATACCTATAGATTATCCACTGAATAGTTACAGAAGGTAAGATTGGGTTGATATGAGGGGTACCACATCCCTCTGTATTGTTACATTAAAGAGAACAAAGGAAAAGAGAGTGGACAGACGCCTTTCCATAATTGTATAACAGTTTTTGTTTTTATTAATACCATGTTAAAACATTTTTAAATTAGAGCCCACACAATTCCTAATTCATATAGTGATATACAGCCTCAAATTATTTTGAATGAACACTACTAGTGGGGTCAGTTTGGGTAAATTCACAATGTTTTGAAGAAAACAACCTGACACTGGTACACTGCAGAATGCCTCTCAAGCAAGCATCTGTCTGGTTAGGTTCATTGATATTCAGATACCAAGCACAATTGTTTTTTTTTTACATTTTCATAAATAAATGAAAAGCCTTCCCTTAAACAAAACATTTTTCATAGTCTTAGACTCGGGAAGGGTTAGATCCTTTGTCAGTAATTAAAAAAGTATATAAAGGCAAAACTTTTTTACTTTTTATTTTGGATAGAATGGAGAAAGGTTAGACATGCAGTCAAATTTTTATTGTGATCCGTGTTCCCATTGTGGAGATTCTTCCCTCTATTTATACTTGTGATCACTGTTGACCAAGAAAGAAAGTGAAGGGAAATCCAATCTTTCAGTGTTTTCACCAGAACAATAGGTAAGGAGAAATCTGCCAATAAGGGCATCTGTTTTAGTGACAGAAGGCTAAAAGGGCAATTTCCTCTAAAGATGTTTGGCTATACATACACTTAAAATACAGTGAAGGGAATTTATCAAAACCGAAACAGACAAAATCTGGAACAGACGTGCATGACAACGAATCAGCCTCCCTCTTCCATTTGCAAATCTTAATTAAACAAACTGAATAGAGAAACTGATTGGTTGCCATGCACAGCTGCTCCCGATTTTGTCTGCTCCAGTTTTGATAAATTCCCCCCTGTATATTCCCCCTTGGGAGATTTTCCCCTCACCCTTTTTTGTTCTGTCACCTGAACAGGAAGTAAGTGGAAATAAAAACCTGTCAAAGTATCTACCCCTTACCTTCTTTACTAAAGAAAATGTAATCTTCTTGAAGAATGTGTTGCCATTAGTCACCACTCACTGTTCTGTCTGACACCTAATAAATAAACAAGAAGTGAAGGGAAATCTCAATAATAGGGTCATAGACAGCAATAAAAACTCTACAAAAGATTTAACCCTTCCCCACTCTGTCCACAACTAAAATAAATGTATGGCTGGAGTTGTGTTTTTAAGTATGAAGTGCACGTGTCTAGTATGATATTTAACAAAAAAAAGCTCATTTATCTCCTGTGTGACATTTCATTCTTTTTAGAGATGTCTTCACCTCATTGTTTCTCAAAGAATAAATGACAGGATTTAACATTGGGGTCAATAAAGTATAGAACACAGCAATAGCCTCTTCCGCTAAATAGTCTATGGAGTTAGGGCTAATATAAATGAACACAGGTGGTCCAAAGAAGAAGATGACAGAAACCAAGTGTGATGCACAAGTAGAGAAGGTTTTCCGACGCCCTTCAGAGGTTCGGATGTTCAGGATTGTTTTTAAGATGTGGAAGTAAGATATCAAGATCAAGAGGAAGCAGATGAGAGCAACAGCCCCGATGTTGGTGATGATTACTGCTTTGTTGATGGTTGTGTCTGCACATGCAAGTTTTAGTACTGGGATAACATCACAGAAAAAGTAGTCAATCCTATTGGGGCCACAAAATGGGAGTCGGAAAGTTAACGTAGTGTGTATCATGGAATGAACTGAGCCGGTCAGCCATATGCCAGCGGCGAACTGCGCACACAGCTTCTGGTTCATGAGGCTTGGGTAATGGAGTGGCCGACAAATGGCCAGAAATCTATCATAAGCCATGACAGTGTACAGAAAACACTCAGTGCTTCCGAAGAAATGGAAAAAATACAGCTGAATGATACAATCTCGAAAAGAGATGGTCTTGTCCTTTTGTAGAAAATTTATGAGCAGTTTGGGCAATGTAACAGTAGACAGACAAATGTCTAAAAAAGAAAGATTCAGTAGAAATATGTACATGGGTTTGTGAAGGCGGGGATCGCTTTGTACGGCCAAAATTAGTATGACATTTCCAAAAAGGGTAGATATATAAATACACAAGAATATTGAAAATAATGGAATCTTCATCTCTTCAGGATGTGGAAGCCCTAATAAGATGAACTCAGTCACTGATGTGTAGTTCATGTACTCCATGACTCTATTCATCAAAAAAGAGAGAACCTGTTATGCTGCCAAACAAAGTGAACTAGTCTTGTTTAGTATATTTGTCATTAATACAACATAAGTGAATCCTTATACCTTTTCTGCATACCATCACACATTTAACTGAATTGTTTTGCTAAAGGAGTAGATAATGTTCAATTTTCAAAGTCAATTTTCCTAAGCTTAGTAAATAAGGTGACGTTGTGTTCAAATATATAATCATGCGTAAGCAAAAAAATAATTAAAGTTTTTAATTTCCGTTGAAAATGATATTCAAAGTGAGAACAACTTTACCTACTCACTAACTAAAGTGAATATTTTCTACTACCCTAGTAATTTAACCTTATTAAGTAATTTACTAATGTTGTAAAATATGATTGAAGTAGATATATTAGGGATATATTTCGGGTGTATGCTTAAGTAAATAACAAACTCTTCCCCCACAAACATATGTTAATGGGATTGATAAGATGTTTGGTGGCACCAGCACTGTATTTGTATTTACAGAGTCTTGTATTTGTGATTACATATAAACAATGCAAGTGGTGTCAAACAATAGGGCAAATGATAGCTGAAAGCATTTCAATGGAGATGCAATTGTTCCAGGGTAGATGGGAACAATAAGATCAAAAAGTTTTCTCTGGTCAACCAATCAGCTTCTTCCACATTTTAGTGAATGAGGAAAATGGGTATATCAAGGAGAGACTGAAATAGGGAGAAAGAGGAAGAGAGAGAGAAAGAGGGTGAGGGAGATGGTATAGAGAAGGGTACTCACAGGGAATCTTCATTATTTTACTTTATCTTATTATTACTCTGTATTACTCTGTTGGACTGTTCCTGTTCATCTGCTTTTGTTGGATTAAACGCTTCTCTATGGAAAAGAATTGAGGTTGCCTGGATTTTCACAACGCACATAAATATAAATATATATTTGGGTAGATTTATATATTTATACGCTCCGCTATATATTACTTCACTACAACTAAATATAAATATATATTTGGGTAGATTTATATATTTATACGCTCCGCTATATATTACTTCACTACAACTAAGAGGGTACAATGAGCAAACACATCTCTAAAGTGCCAGTTCAACACTATTTTAATAGAAAAATGCAGCAGATTTAAAGGGCACCTATTGATTATAAAAATATCTTATTCATCTTTTATTTTATTTAAAATTATTATATGTTTCAAAAAAGGCTATTTTCAAAGCTGTTTCCTTTCATGGAAAGAGTTGGCCTGACTTTCAGCTCTGGTATCTGGTGTCTGGTATTCATTGGACATTTTTTTTTTAGCAATAAGATTTTATTGATGAAAATATAAATATATATTTGGGTAGATTTATATATTTATACGCTCCGCTATATATTACTTCACTACAACTAAATATAAATATATATTTGGGTAGATTTATATATTTATACGCTCCGCTATATATTACTTCACTACAACTAAGAGGGTACAATGAGCAAACACATCTCTAAAGTGCCAGTTCAACACTATTTTAATAGAAAAATGCAGCAGATTTAAAGGGCACCTATTGATTATAAAAATATCTTATTCATCTTTTATTTTATTTAAAATTATTATATGTTTCAAAAAAGGCTATTTTCAAAGCTGTTTCCTTTCATGGAAAGAGTTGGCCTGACTTTCAGCTCTGGTATCTGGTGTCTGGTATTCATTGGACATTTTTTTTTTAGCAATAAGATTTTATTGATGATAAACAATACAGCTTAGGCAACAATAAGTCATATAACATATTTTCATATAGTCAAGAGGTCAGATGTCATCTATTAAACTAAGATCCTCCCTGGCACTGGAGATATCTGTAAACCGACATTTTCTGTCAATGGCATATGTTAGAGGTGGAGGTCATCCATGACATTAGTGTCAAAATCGACTATCTGGTTAATAAGGGTTAAGTAATTAGAAAAACTAAGAAAGAAGAAAGCAGACAGAGCATAAATCACACATCAAGGGTTCTTAGATGTTCTCACAGTGAGTGTTGGGGACTTGTTAGGGTTCTTTGTGGTGGTGAAAGGGTTGGCAGATGAAAGTGAATTGTGGCTGTATTCGTTCTTAGACAAGGGATATTCATATGAGGGGAGTTCATTGGACATTTTAACACATCTATACTGTATGATATTTCCCTCTTCTTCAGCCAGTGCAGGGAATAAATCAAGCCATGTAAAGCAGGGGAGAAGCAAAATCCCGATAAGAGCAGCAGAAAGAAGGTGCTGCTTCCTAGCTGGCTGACACTGGGGGCTGACATAGGGACCAATTTGATGAGACAAATATAATTTATTCAGTGAGAGTCTTTAGTTTTAAAATACTTTTCATTAGAGTACCATGATACCAAAATATCAAAATCAAGTATACATATGAAGTACATTATCTCTTCAACTTTGGTGTATACAGATATTCTGAACCAAGAAATAATGAGTTGCATAAAACTTAGAATGTTTAGAACTATTTAAAGGTTACCTGTTTTTTAACTGACGTGGTGGGAAAACAGAGGTTGTGTAATGAGGTGATGTCACGATCCACCCCTCAACCAATCAGAGAACACCTTGTATGCATTGATGAATATACTAGGCATTCTTTTGAATGGCCACTGTGCCGAGCAAGCGACCCCCTGTGTTATTGGGGCACATGGGCCTTTACATGCGCCTCTCAGGTATGACATATGCATACTTACATTGGGCTAACTTTAATGAGTACAACTTTAATATTTTAACACTTATCAGTACTAACTGAGATTAGTCTACCTAAAGGCTAAAAGGGTTGTACATAAAGCTTCTCCTTTATCCAGGTCAAGGTATATATAGTAACTAGTCTTATTTAACCGGACTTGTTCTGTAATATTGAAGATGTAATAGAAGCCATCTACATCAAGCTGGAACAAGTATCCCTAAACAGACTGGGGGCCTTTGATTCTACCTGTCACCTGCATACTTTATAATGCCATTTTAATATTTCTACCCCAGCAATTTGACAATTCACACCTTCAACCACATAATTTGAACAAACATTCGAGCACCATAGTGACTGGATTATGAAAATACACCAGGCATTCAAACCTCCCATTTAGTTAATGGGCAGTCAAGTTCTGCTTTGACATAGTCCATAGTGATTAGATTACGTTGACTTAACCTAAGTTGCGAAACCTCTTCAACATTATAGAACAAGTGCTTTTGAATATGATAAACTACCACAAGCCTATAAGGGTTAGCTATCACTGTACCACCTGAGCAACCACCATACAGCCTTTAGTAATAGTACATAACATGTAGTTGTACTATGGATCATTTAACTCATTCATGTTAACAGGGGAGAATTGTAAATCTATTGCTGCAGTGTACTCTATATGTAGTATATATATACAGTGCACATTCCCAATACACTGCAGCAACAGATTTACAATTCTCCATTGCTAATATTAATAGGTTAAATGATCCATAGTACAACTACATGTTATGTACTATAGATCTTTTAACTCATTCATGTTAGCCGAGGATAATTGTAAATCTATTGCTGCAGTGTACTCTATTTGTAATACATAGTACATGTACGTTACACACGTCCAGTACACTGCGGCAATAGATTTACAATTCTCATCTGCTAATATCAATAGGTTAAATGATCCATAGTACATAAATTTGTACTACGGATCATTTAACCTATTCATGTTAGCAGGGGAGAATTGTAATTATATTGCTGCAGACAGCAGTGTACTGGACGTGTGTGCTATATATGTACTATGGATCATGATTTAACCTATTCATGTTAGCAGGGCCGAATTGTGAGTGCCCCCCACAAGCTGAGCAACGAGACGCGATGCAGTGATCCTGCCAAGCGCCAACTACGAGAGGCAAAGCATGAGGCAACAGAGATCAGAGTGAAATGTGAGTGAGGGAAGCTAAAACAGCCTTAAATTAAAGTCCTTCATAATCATAAAGAAATTGGCCTAAAATCATTAGTCTGTATTGTTTTTTTCTAAAATGTCACCTGTCCCTTTAAGAAAAGGTATCCGTAATTGGTATCGGCAAGTACATGAGGGGAAGTACTTGCACTTGGTCTTGAAAAAGTGGTATCGGGACATCCCTAATCCTTATGATAGATAAGTCATCTCCATCACAGGCGTCTTTGTACAATTTTAAGCGATCCAATAGCATATTTGATTATATAAACATTTATACATTACCTTTACTAGCAAGCTGCATTAGTTGTAAAACGTCAGTAGCATTTTATGAGGTCATTTCCACAATGTTACCAATTGATCAGTGATGCCAACATTTTTATACTTAAAAATAGTTGAACCATTTAATTAGGTTTTTCATTCTAAATAGTCTCATGTCCATTCAGCTAGCATAATCATGCTGTCCAGCAGTACCTCGAAGTTTATTTATGAACAAAAATTTAAATAAACATTGTGATTCTTAAATAGATACCTAACATTGAAAAACTGTATGGGAGTGTAAATTAGATATATTATGTATAATCGTTAATATCAATCCATATAACATGCTGTAATTGCAAATGGTGATTTCAAGGCTGTATTGAGATGTTATCCATGTATATAGTGGAGCAGAATCAGTAACAGGCAGCACTTGTATCTTTATGTATTTCATTGCCTTAGGGAAAATATTCCCTATGCTATTATTTTGTCTTGTTTGTAATTTAATGTTTTGATCATTTGCATGGTAGAGTGAACTACTATATTTAATGGTTACATGAACAGGATTTTCACTTAGGGATATCTTAGTAATTGGTAAATTGTAGTACACTTGTTAAAAAAGGGACTAAAAGGAATTAAATCATGACTTAAAGGGTTATTAAACCCTCCGGTGTTTTTGCATATATCTACTGCTAGCAAGCCGGGAGATGAGGAGAGACAAAAGGTAAGTCTATTGACGTGTGCACCCGCATGCAGACACTGTGGGACAGGAAGTGCCAGCAAGAACAGAGGAGTCAGCGCTGGATCGG